AAATCTAACCCAGCTTGTGTTCTTCCTCTAACTGGCTGCCTGAGTTATAACCTGTTTTAAATTTGTTTTAAGACGAAGATTTTGTTTGGTCACATGAAAATGCCTTAAATAGGCAATGCTATAATTAGCTCCAGCTGAAGCCTCATTTCCCAAAGTCACTACCGCTGCCGTCATCTTTTTTCTTTCTGTAGTAAACCCTTCCCTTCTTTTGTCCCAGGACCAGCTTCTTGCTCACATGTCCGTCCTTTACAAAGGAAATTTCCCTGGCTGGCTGCCAGTAGTTTCTCTACTCTCTTCCATTTTAAGTAAATTTTCCTCGACTGTTCCAATTTCTTCTGGGGGGAAAAAGGGGCAGATGCCAAAAATTGCTGGTTCATTTCTTAAGAAAAGCAGACCTGACCTGTTGTAAGCTAGCAAGAGGCTTTGCTAGTCACATGGCTTGGGCTCACCCATCACCCACTGATAAGCACCCAAAGCTGACTCCTGAACAAATCCTAGCACTTCAGACTGGTCCCGAAGGGTCAGATGAAGCAGCTGCCGAAGTCTGATGATGTATTTTTCAGCACCCATTCCCATAGCAGACAACCCATTTCTAACTGAAGGGCCCCCAACTGCTCTTTTGGCTATGCTAGTTCTGCAAAACTGCAGCATTGCTTTTTCTGTAAGTAGCTAATAATACTGTTGTTATTTCAGCAGGAAGTGGTATGGTATGGAGGTTCATGCGGCAAGGTGTCTTCCTGTTGCCCAAATATTTACAACAAAGCAGATCCTCTCTCTTAATAGTTAAAAAACATTCACCAGAAGACTAACATGTATTCCTCTACAGGTAATAAACAAATAAAGTGGATAATTCCCAGTCTCAGAGCTGTATAATTTAACTTACTCAAAAGCTAAAAGAGTTGTAGAAACAGAGTTCATACTAAATCCACACACCACAAGAATAAAGAGAGTCCTGACAGAGTAGCTCAGTTGGTTAGAGCATTGTCCCGATATGCTAAGGTTGCAGGTTCAATCCCTGATCAGGACACATAAAAGAGTCAACCAGTGAATGCATGGATAAGTCGAACAACAAATTGGTGTTTCTCTCTCTCCCTTCCTTTCTCTCTTTCTAAAATCAGCAAATTAAAATCAGAATATACTTTAAAAAAAAAGAATAGGACTTAGATCAGTCACAGAGTCAAAAATTTTAGAGCCAATGGGACGAAGGGACTAGGCAACCCTGGTTAATCAAAAAGGTTTCTTTCAACACTAGAAAGAAAAACAATCACTTATCTCCTTATTTGCCCCTAGAAATTTACTGCCAGAAAAATGGATTAGGATCAATATCAGATGTGCCGAGAATCACAAGAACATTGTGACTCTAGTTGGGGTACTAAGCATAGCGTAAACACTGAATACACTCCCACAGTCAGATGCCCTCGATGTGCCTGGCAGCATGTGCCAAGTAGGTACAAAGAGGCAGAAAGGTAAACCTGGGCCCACACCTCCCTGAGCCCATAAGGCACAACAGACCCTCTGAATTTAGCCATGCTATCTTTCCAAGTGACTTACTCATCAGATATATATAGGAAAATATTGAGCTCACACTACTATTTTGTGTAAAACTTACCTAAATTTTTTTAAAAATGTCTTTATTGATTTCAGAGAGAGGAAGGGAGAGGGAGAGAGAGATAGAAACATCAATGATGAGTCATTGATCGGCTGCCTCCTGCACGCCCCGGACTGGGGATCCAGCCCGAAATCTGGGCATGTGCCCTAACTGGGAATCGAACCTCGATTTCCTGGATCATAGGTCAATGCTCAACGGTTGAGACACGCCAGCCGGGCTAAAATTTTTAAACTTGTCTCTAAATCTCTTGGATTTAACCCATTGATTCTATCTTACATAGTGTTACCCTTGGTCTTCTTCCCAGGCAGATCCTAAGTAGGCTAAACACCTCGGATGTTAATCCAAGATATCTTGGACATGAATTTAAAACACCTTATATGTATACCTGCCTGACCAAAAAATTGGTTTAACTCTCTGGCATTTTACCAGATTTCTTCATACTTGGCTGTGAGATTCTGTACAAACTGACCAAATGGACTACTTAGAAGAGAAACAGGTTACTAGATAAAAATACTCAGGAGTCCTCCTCCGGGTTGTAAATCAGGCTAAGCCACAAGTAAATGAAATACTCGGGGAAAGGGAAGCTATAGCTACAAAGTCAGACAGAGAAACATCATGAGAGAAGGTGAAGAAACAGCCTCTGCTTGAGGTTCTTATAAAGAAAGGTCAGCAGGCCTGGAGATGGGCCATTGTCCGTGCCTCCTGCCCTTTGGCCAAGAGCCCACTCCTGAACAAGAGTAAGATATCCCCTCCTAGGTATACAACACTTTCACTTTTAGGAAGTATTTCCCCCTAGATTCTTTTATGACCTGCAACCCTGCAAGGGATCACAATCCCACCTTCTGGATAAGCAAGTCAACAGGGATGAGCCTAAACCAGGAGAACTGTTAGTGCTCACCACCCACACCATCACAGATCTGCCTAGAACCCCAGTTCCCATTTTTTCCCAACTCCCACATGCTTCTGAGAGGAACAGATCAGGGCCAATGGCTGGCAGGGAAACCAGAGGGGAAGAGAGGAAGGCCGCTAGAGGAGGAGGATGAACCTGTCAGTGGCAGGTAGGAGGGTGCATCACGCTAAGCCTTGAGGTCAGCAGGTGAGGAAAAGCAGACTTCTGAGTCTTGGCTTTCTACTTTGGGGAAAGCTGGAACAGGAAGGGGCTTTTCGCTCATCAGAAGGCCCAGAGGGTGCCCACCTGTGCCCACTAAGAGCCTTTCCCCCTAGCCCAAGCGCCCACAGAAGTCAAGGAGGTCCACTCCCACCAGCACATAAATGGGAAACCCATCTGTCACTCGCGGGTTCCACTCGGCCCAAGGCGCCGTCCAGCAGACCCGCCACGCTCCAAGGGGCTGCCCAAGAAGCCAGGCTGTTCAGACCTGTCACCCAGAGGCCCTGACCTGTTACCGGACCTCCCCGTAGTCTGGGACTCGAAAGGGGCCCCTCCCGACCCGGGCGGACGGTGCCCGCCGCCTACCCGAAGCTCGCCCTCGGTGCGGTGCAGTCCCAGGCGTTGCAGCCCCACGGCCAGGTCGTTGACACACAGGCCGCCGTCTCGATTCACGTCGAGCGTCTGAAAGAGGCTCCACAGGCGCAGCCGGTGGTCTGGGCCCCCGCAGACGGCGCCGCCGCACGGGTCCACGGACGCCGGCGACGAGGCGGACGAGGCGGCGGC